CAAGGGTACCGTCTGTCGACGGTGACGGCTTGCCTCATGAATGAACGTCACGCAATTGCAGAGCTGATGTGCGTGTTGTTCTATTTACTTGGAAGGAAGCGTTTGATGCACGCTCTTGTATGCATTAGGCATGCCAGAATAACCATTTCGCATCAGTGATCTTTACTTCATGGAGCGGAGAGTAACATTGTAGCGGTTCGATTGATGCTCTTCGAAAGTGAGATTGCATTGTATCATTCATTGAAAATGTACAATCGTATGGAACCGTTCTGAGCTGCTCGTGTCACTTTATCTAGAGTCCTGGGGGACTTACGATTCTACCACAAACCTATGTACACTTCCTTTTAGCTCACTCGATCTTACATCTCTTATTGAAGAAGCCTATCTGCGGCGGCAGCTCGAGACTGATTATGTTTGCTTGGAACTGACTGAACCGCGTGTTGGGGTTCTCGCGGATGCGCATATGTATCGCGAAGCTGCGGTTCTTGAGGCGCGTGTTGAGGTTTTCCAGTTGGTCGCTCGGTGGTTTCACACAGAAGCTCTCGATGTGCGTACCGGTGACGAGGGCGAAATCGCTGGGCCATATTTTTACGGACAGACTGTCCGCTGCAAGCGAAGTCGGTGTAAGCAGAACTTCTCTTCTGTGTCAGCGAAAAGGCAAGCAGAAGTCTGTGCAGTTATATGTAAAGTGGATGCAGCAGCTGAAGTCGATTGAAGCAATGCTTGACTCAGCGACAATCAGGTGCTTGATCAGATTTGTGTCAACCAAGCTTTTCTATTTGACGTGAACGGTAACCTGGTCGATTCAGAAGGGATCGAACGACATACAGGAAACTAGCGTACAGTTACTTACGTCCGGCGTCGATGCGGATGTCAACCGTAACGGTGACTTCCACGCACGCGTCGTCGAGCGGCCCCGCTTTGCAGCCCTGGTCGCAGAAGAGTTCCTGCGTGACAGGGTTGCGGCTGGCTGTCCCGTTGCAGTCGTAGCATCCGTACGCGATGGAGTCCACTTTCGTGAAGTTGATGAAGCTCGCCAGCACGGTCGCCGCCGTCCACCTGCTACCTGCAAGTGTCTGCACCACACGCGACCACGGCAGGATCTTGTCTTCGCTTGAGGTCTTGTACGTAAGCCCAATTCCGGCTATGCTCGCTGCCGAAGCGCCGCTGGTTGTGATGGTGGTGCTGCAGATTAGAGAGTTGGTCAGAATGAAGAATGGATGATGCTTTTCTCGAGGATCATGTTTCGAAACAAAGGTTTGTTGTTCCGACGCATATACAGCAGAGAATAAATACGTGTATGGTCACGTGATTATGGCCACGTGGCAGTGTTGAGTTTGGCTGCGTGCGCAGAAATTGCTCGCTTGTGTTTGTCTTCTTATGAATTTCGATTCGAAATGTCTTTCAAAGAGCAGATCGAACGCCGCGTACACGACTTTAACATACTGCTCAGGTCTAATAATCGAATCCCGGCCAAAGTTCGCTGACCGCTCTTGCGTCTCCTGATTTGTTGTTCTTATTTCAGCATTGCGACTGTCAATTCTGAGAATTCAAGACGCACAAGATTTGAGTCTACAGAATGAAGCGGCACAATTGTTGACTTCACGTAAGTCGGAGCATATATTGCTTACGTTCTGGTGCTGCTGCAGCCCTGATCCGCGTCGTACTGGACGCCGGTGATGTTGATGACGTCAGCGCGGACTTTCAGCTTCTTGAGCGTCGGGAGGTGGGCCATGGTCCCCCAAATTGCGATGCTGCCCATGATACCTTGCTTGTCTTTGATGATGATTTTGCGGACGTCGCGGTCACCCTTGGAAGTAGCGGGCGTTGACACGCGACTCTTGTAGATTAAAAGGCCTTCCAGCTTATGTACCTGCGCAATATGTTTAAACATAAGACTTTGTTTTCTGTTCGACATTTTGCTGACGTCAGCAAATCAGCAATTCTTCGGAGAAGTGTATGTGATGCTTTCGGAAAATAGCATTCCAAACTTACTCGAAGCAGATGAACGACGGAAGTCAGTTCTCTTGTTAATGCATGTAGTTCGTGAAAGTTGTAACGGAGTCACAGCATCGTATACGCAAGTTACAGACTATCTGAAGATTGCAAAGCAACCTGTAGAAGACGCTGGATGTGGATGTAGTACATGCTCGTTGCTCTTCGAGAAGAACGTGAACTCTGCCGAATTCTTCATTGCTGCCGAATTCTGCGCCGACGTACGGATGCGGAATGACAGTTAGAACTCACCCCTCCGGGCTGCAGAGAGCCGAAGCTGGCAGGGAGTTCGGCCACTGTGTCGATGTATTCAGCGGACTCGCTGATGAGAGTGCGCCCTTCTTCGATTTTGAGGGAAGTCGGGTGCTCTGTGAGGGAGAATCTGCAACAGACGAAAGGATTCTGGTAGGATGAGTGACTCAATTTCGGGCATGCAGTCGTGCATGAGTTAGCAGTAGCAACAGAACGTGTGTTACAGCAGTAGCAACAGAATGTAAAACTTCGTTGCTTTTTGATTCTTCAAACGAATTACAAACAGCCTTATGGCACTATAAAAAGCGTAGTCCGTTGAAACGGATTCAAAACTGATTCCCTGCAATATGAAACGCTATTTTCTACCGAAGAAAGTGAAATTGGAATATCAAAGAAGCCCACCTGCATGAAGTCACGACCGGCCTGTACAAGAGAATGACGCTGCCCTTTGAGCATTGGCTGCTGACGGTTTCCACAAAGCTTCTGTCTTTGCTAGTGGCTTCCACAGTGATTCTAGCTCCCGACTTGTCTTGCAAAACCGCTTGCGTCGTGCAGAAGTGGCCGTATGGAAGCTCACGCACAGAAGGCTTGTTGCTCTCGGTGGGGCTGTCTAGCTCCACTACTTTGCCATGCACTTGAAAGAAGCTTGAGTCCACTGGAAATTCTTCTACCTGCTTGATTGAGACCGTTGGGACATCTGCCTTTTTGGGAGCCATTGTTCCTACGAGGTGAGAGTCTCGGCATTCGTCCGTTAGAAGCGCTTTGTGTAGCGGAATCAGAGTAAGTCGGACAAGGTAACACTGAAGTCAGGGAAAGTGTTCTTCCTGTTTGTTTGAGAACGGCGAATTGTCACATAGAAGTCTTTTAGAGTGCGCTGAAACAGACTGAATGCGAAACATCAGATAAACAGGAAGAAGAAGTACCAGAACAGGTGTCGTGTCAAGAAGTCGATTGGAAACCGCGTTTGCTGAGCTGTTCACGTCACGCGCAAAAGTCAGACGAAGTCCTTAGAAGTCAAAGAAGACTGATAAATGCACGAACGGACCTGACGTGGCGAGTGTGTGGAAGGTGGTAGAAGATAAGACTAAGTAGAAGCGGTGGGAAGTCACATGTAGAAACAGTCGAATTTCGATGTCGCTTATGAATGCATGCGAAATCATAGAAGCCGATAATTTGCGTGGTTTGCGGAGATGCTCGCGAAGATGCATATGCAGACCCAGATCAGTCGCGCTTAAGACACCGCTGTAAAAGTACAGAAGCAAAGCGAAGTTGGAATTTCCGGCGATGTGACGAACTATGCGTGCCCTCTCGAACGCGCGCGCGCACCGTTCTTCGCGCGCGCACTTTCAACCCAGTGCATCCATCAGGCGCGCGCGCGTCCCCGCGAACGTATCTGAATCTGCTTGTCACCCCGAACAAATAGAAGATAAAATACTGACCGTTCATTGAGACTCGGACTGCCAATGGAACGCACAGTGCAGTGGACTGTGGTCGCTCCAGTAGGCTTCTAAATTTCTAGTCGTCCCTGCATTGGCTAAACCGCGCGATGCCCACACGTGATCGATGAGAGAGCCTTGATTTGTGGTCGGCAATGAGTTCAATAGTTGAATATCGAAAGAGTGCATGATCTGGACGAGCTGGTCAGCTGCTCCGGAAGGTTTAAGCAGGTCTATGTTGAAATCACCTACACACACGAAAGGAGGCGAAGCGGTCGGCGCCCTGTGAATCAGGTTAGTAATGAATGTGCGCAAGGTCTCCAAAAAGCGATCGATTAAGAAATCGGATGGCGACCTGTACACCGCCATCAAGTAGAAGTCGGGATTCGGGCGACCTCGTACGTGCAGACACAGTACCTGCGAATAGTAATCGGAGAAGGCCGAATGAACAGTAGCGCTTAGAGCTTGTCCGGACTTTGATATGTATACTACAACATTGTCAAAACCGTCTCGCCTAGACGGGTTGGCTTCTGCACGAAAAACGTCATAGTCAAGCTGTTCAAGTAATCGAAGATCCCACATCGGTGATGCTCGTGTTTCCGTGCAAACAATAATGTGACTACGTTTGAAGTTTAGATCGGAGAACACGTCTGATGCGTGAAGACGCAACGAACGTACATTGTGAACGACGAGGTGTAAGTCTCGATCACTTCCGGAACTGACGGGTACCTGTGGAATGCATGGGATCACACATGCGCGTTGCCAAAGACGGGCCATTTCTGTCAGTACTTTAGAGCTGACTGTAATTTCCTCGAAGGCGGGATCTAAGATAAACAGATGATTCAGATCAGGGAACCGACTTAATCCAACATAATGTCGACCTGCATCGACATGATGTTTCGAGGCACCCCTGAAATCAAGAGAGCCATTTCGAAGCGTCATCCCTTGTGTGTGATAAAAAGTTCCAGCTGTAGCCGGACGCAACGGAAATTGAGTTCTCAGAATTGTGCTCTCAATTCTCCGCGTAGCTTGAAACGTACGAGAAATCCGAAATACTGGAGTCCATGCAGGGTTAATAGCAGGACACAGCTGATACAGATTAGCCCATTGTTCGCGAGTTTGGCGTCCAATTCTGTCTTCTAAGAATTCCACCCATATTACGTGAGGATCAGAAGCTCCAAGGTCATGAAAGTGCCGAACGTATCCAGTCGCTCCGTTGTACAATCCATCTGGAATATTAGTGTTGCACGTGATTTCTATTAAAAGACCTTCTTTCAGCTGAAGAATTGCAAACAACGTTGCTGTTTCCGCATCTGGCATACGCTCAGCCTTATACAGAAAATGTTCGCGATCTCTTGTCGAAGCGCTGTAAGACAGCGCTTCATCTCTAGCACGAATCGAACATTCAGGTCCACCAGTGAGATGCAGGACCAAGCTGTTGTGTGTGTCTCTCTTCTTGCGAGTAGCAAATATGTGTTTATCGAAAGGGGAATACGCCGTAGGCAGGTGTAACGGGTCCACAACTCTCGTCTGGAACAACGCTAGATCCATTGGAGTGTGGCTGCCCGTCCGCAATCGGTTGAGTGCTTCGGCGAATTCAAGGCATTCTTTTTGCCGCATAATTTCAACAAGCTCAAACATTGAAACGTTTTCTTCCCACAGGTTACTAATTACGACGCCGTTTTTACGAATTCCTTCAAAAACGTAGCCATCCCAAAGTGGTTGAAGTTGAAAAAGGTCGCCACCGAAGATAATCGGCAGTCCGCCAAACGGTTCAACGGATTCAAAAATCTCTTGTAAGCGATAGTTGATTATTTGTAGCAACTTGGCACCCGTCATGGACACTTCGTCAATGACGCATCCTTTCAAATCTGCATAAGCGTCTCTCAAAGTTGCTTTCTTTTCACCTGTAATCGGAATGTACGATTCTAGCTTCGCATACAACGGAATCTTAAAGGCAGAGTGAATAGTAACGCCGTCTATGTTGAAGCCTGCACTGCCCGTAAATGCTGCCAACAGCATCTTAAGAGAGGTCGGCTGTAAGCCAACAGCTCCGCTGAATGTTCGAATTACCAATTGCGTGATGCATCGTATGACTAGACTTTTGCCAGTACCGGCCCCTCCCGTAAGAAATTCCACGAACTTTCGCGTTCCCGGAAACTTAAGAGAATGCAAAACGTGATCAACGTACGTTCTTTGCGTTGCTGTAAGCGATCGCATTTGTCCACGGAAATCTTCATCAGGTAATACGAGCTGTGAATGAGGTAATTTTTCTTCTGCAGACGACGTCGCAGAAGGCGCGAAGTCAGGCGACACTGTAAATTCGGCCGGAACGCTTGATCCCGATTCCACATTCTGATTTTCAGCTAAATTGGCGTCTAAGGAGTCGCCGAAGATTTCGGCGTCTTCAGCTGCCCTGGCGTCTGCATATCATTCGACCTCTTCCCAAATAATATCAGAGTGGTAGTCGTACGCCGCTGCAGCGGCTTCGATAGCTTCTTTTTCGGCTTCGTATCGCGTTTCAAAACTATCATATCCAGAAAGTAGTATGTCGTCTTCAGCAGCACTCAGAGCCATTAGACTGTTTCCAGCAAAAGACCACGGAAGGAATAGCATAATGCATTCGCGGCAGTATAATTCCGGATCTTCAGCTCTTTTGAAACTCGCATATCGTATAATTTTAGCTTTCTTACGTTGATGATACACAATAGAACCAGGAACATCGCGCTCGTCGTCTGTATCGACGGTCGCTGCTTGCATTTCGGGATCCGCTTCAGTCGCGGTATCATCGTTCACTTCTTCTTCGCTGGCTGCACTTTTCTTCGAGGGCTCAAACTAGGCAGCAAAGTCCGCTAGAGTTAGCTTTTCCGAACCCTGCATGCTTCGATTTTGTAGGCGCATAGCGTACTTGTCGACAACGTTCGAATAGACGCAGTCAGTTGAGTCTTCAGGCAGAAGGCGTAAAGCGCTATCAGTTTTGACCAACAGAGTTCGATTCTCGGGAATATTTGTCGGAATGAATACATGTTCCCGAGAGCTATGCCTGTACGGAAGACCCAAGCATCCGTACACTGCTTCCTGAGCTGATATTTCTTGCCCTTTTAAAAGCGCCATACCAACATACCTTATACTTCGACGGAGTTCCATGTTTCCCCGTCGAGCGTCCGCATATGCTTGATCCAAAAGTTTACTAAGACGGTAGTCTGTTTTCATCATATACGAACTGATATAGTTTGCCGCGGCGTACGCTTCCAGGACTCAAATTGTATATCCATGTTGAAACCGCCCAGCAACTTGAAGAGTTTTGGATTATAGTTGTTTATGTAAATCTCCGAAGGAGACCTCTTCAGAAATACCGACGGTTTCACAAGTTTGTACCGTAGTCCAAGTACATATTCAGCAGGTGTCAAAGATAAGCGAGCGTAGAAGTCAGAACAAGACAGAAGCTCCAGATCCGACTCGTTCAATTCCAATTCCCTCAAACCGTCCGATATTTTTCTTGAATACTGCGCGCATTCCTGCTTTCTGAAGTTCGAAATGCTTTCTGGTAGTGGGTGAAGTATCATCGTCTCGTGCAAAGGCGGCCGCGGGAATTCGAAACGACAAACAGGGTTACTGCCAGGAGTGCGGCGTTTCAAGCAGTAATTGCGGCTATGTTTGTGGTACTGGCCAGTTAGATCTGACGGTGATGCTCGAGAAGACGAGCACGTGACGTGCTCATTTATGAAAGCTACGACTGTAGCATCATCGTCAATACCGAATTTAGGAGCGTCTGCCACGTAAAAAGCGGCATGTGTGTGCGGCGTACCCCGTTGCTGGAATTCATCACGCCAAAAGAAGTCCGTAATTTGTCCTATCAAAGACGAGTATTTCTGAATAATTTGAATCAAGTGATCTCTGCGGTTACTGCAGCAACGGGCTACCGTAACCGGATCGTTTCTGATCAACAGCGCTTTCTCTAACCAAGGTAGTTGCAGAGCAGCAGCCACAGATATCGAATTCCCAGATGCCAATGTATGTAGGGTACGTAGCAAACCTCCCCATCGAGTTTCAGATACAGAAAACGTTGCAAATATCTGGAACGGGCCCAATTGTCTAATCATTGCAAACGCTTCTTTCTTTCCTTGCCGATTGTACTCAGGACTTCCGCGTAAAGTCTTAAAATCACGATATCCTATATTCTGGGACATCATAAAAGACTGAGCAGCTGGATTCCGCAGCTCACCAGCAGTAGGATATATGTTATTTGGTAATTTCTTCTTCCGCAGTCGCACCCAAGA